TATGTAATTATTTGAGGACGTTTAAAGTTGAGTGAATACAATTTAAATTTTTATGCCACGGGAGGATATGATTGACATGTAAAGTTCATCTTTCTCTAAGAGCAAGATGTGGTTTCTTTGTGCTCCGACGCATTAAATTTTGGATGGTATGAATTACGTTCAACTGCAATTAAAGGTATGAGAATTCGTTAGGCAGCCAATTCAATTAGTTGGTGCCAACCAAAATCCTTGCTTTCCTAAGAAACTAATATTTGGTTTCATAAGCGTATCTATAGCCACAGTTTCCTCGGCACGTGCTAAGTTACTGCAGAGGGGGGAGAGCTATTTGGTTTCATAAGCATATCTATAGCCACAGTTTCCTTGGCACGTGCTAAGTTGCTGCAGAAGTGGGAGAGGGGAATGCAAGAATACCATGCTCCGAGAACGCATCTTTAATTCGGTAAAAAAAGAAGAAGTGGGAAGCATTTTAATAGAGTGAATCCAAGGTAGCCTGGGACTTCGTTGCTCACACCAAGATCGGAGGGTGGTTTAGGCTTCAGATTTTTCTTTGAAGGAATGGAACTCAGTCTGTGTTGGCCATGGTTCTTTAAGGGTTGTGGAGGGTAGAGTTGCCTGGGAGCTCAGAATTCCAAATGACCGTAGTTGGAATGTAGTGAAATCGTATTGTTCAATAACATGGCATGATTCTTCATCATGCTTGATTGTTTTGGCAATTATTTTTGCTAAAAACATGATTGTCACCCTATTTTTTTTGCAATGCAAAAAAGAAGAATAACATGGAGAAAAAGCTAGCAGAAACAGTTAAATATGCAACAACTTGTTGTAAAAAGAAAAAGAAATAAATTGCAACAAACAATCCCAGTCTCTTATTTTTATTTTTTTTAATTTCAGATCATCTCTTGCGAAACTCGATATAACCATTTGATATGGCAAGTAGCAACTTCTCAAACATTCTGACAATATTAAAGTTAGATTTTCTTATTTGTGATTTCTTTGAACCTTGGGCTCCGCCACTAACATTGTCATTGAATATCCCAACTGTTTAGTTTATGGTTATTGGCAATAAGAAAAATTTTTGTGGAGTTCATGCCATCAAGAGCGAGCTCATGAATATTATTCAAGATTCTGCGAAAGATTTTCTTTCCTTTATACTGAATTCTTCAACACTTGGAACAATCATCTAGAATAATGTTTGTCGGAATTTGAGAGAGATTAAGGGTAAATACTTTGATGATCTATTAGCTGTAACCATGAAGAAGATTTTGTTAGTCGCTAGCTCCTCTTGTTCAAGGCCCTATTACAGAAGATGATAAAAAACCAGAAAGCACCAGCCTCAGTCTTCTATCCTTGATTACAGGTTCAAAGAAAAAAGACAACAAAGATTTTCAAATATTAATAACTAAGAAACTCTAAATTCCACCATGATGTGATTGAGCAAAAAAAAAAAAAAAAGCAGTGAAAGATGAGGAGCTCTAAATCCCAGTTGATTCAAATAAATGGAAAAAATACAAAAAAATAATAATAATTAAATTAAATTTAGCTAATTTCTCCTATTTTCTTATTTATTTCATTCTACTGAAGAAATTGACGATTCATTGAAAATAAAAAAGACCCAAAAATCCCTTATTAAGAAAAAAAATTCTTCAACACAAAAACTCAATCAATCAAACAAATAAAATTAATCTTTCAATGCCATAGGAAAAAAGAAAGACCTGTTAAACCTCTAGCGTTCAAGATCAACCTCCGACGAGAGATAATGGTCAGTGAACACTTATTTGTCCACCAAGTCACATTCCTTGATGTAAAAGGGCTAAGGTTTGTTGTATTTGTTCATTCACCATGAGTTTTTGCTCTCCAAGAACCAAAAATAGAGGGCAGGACAGAGAAGAGACAAAGTTGAAAACATAAACATGGTGGACATCCATCAACTCTTTTCAAGCAACAGAAGTTAAGAAAAACAAAAGAAATGACAGTTAAAAAAACACGTGAGAAAACCTGTGAGAAAAAAAAACTTTAGAACGAAAAACATTACTAGAATCCAGAATAAAAGTAGAGTAGGTATACAGTGTTTTCATGAGCTCTTTTAGTTTTTTTTATAATTTATAATTTTAAACATAAAACTCTTTTCTAGGTACCACAGTAATTTTGGAATTTATTTTTACAATACAGAAAAGGCATCTGCCAAAAATATGGTAAAGGATTCAAACACGTTTAGTTTTCAGTCAGAAAATCTCTTATCGACGATAAAACTTAATGCTTTCAGCATTTTAGTTGGATCTTGAGTCGAGTATATGCTGCAGAGGAGTTCAGAAAAGTTTTCTGACTAATAAAAATTTCGTTCGAGGATCGATGTGTATTAGGTTGGTTGCCATTAATGTGCAAACATCCATCAACTCTTTTCAAGCAACAGAAGTTAAGAAAAACAAAAGAAATGACAGTTAAAAAAACACGTGAGAAAACCTGTGAGAAAAAAAAACTTTAGAACGAAAAACATTACTAGAATCCAGAATAAAAGTAGAGTAGGTATACAGTGTTTTCATGAGCTCTTTTAGTTTTTTTTATAATTTATAATTTTAAACATAAAACTCTTTTCTAGGTACCACAGTAATTTTAGAATTTATTTTTACAATACAGAAAAGGCATCTGCCAAAAATATGGTAAAGGATTCAAACACGTTTAGTTTTCAGTCAGAAAATCTCTTATCGACGATAAAACTTAATGCTTTCAGCATTTTAGTTGGATCTTGAGTCGAGTATATGCTGCAGAGGAGTTGAGAAAAGTTTTCTGACTGATAAAAATTTCGTTCGAGGATCGATGTGTTCATTAAAAGAGTCAACATTTTGTAGGTGCTTAATTTACTTCCGAGCAAGAGGAATTCATGGGAAATCCATCCACAGCGATTTTGGGAGCAAAGACTTTACGATGATTCCTCACTAGAGGGAAAAGATTTCCATGGTAGACAGATTTATCCTGTCAAGCATTTCAGCTGATACACTAAGCTTCGAGGGATCACTAGATAACCTAAAAGTTCTTTGCCACACAAACTCGATCGAAGGTAATTCTTTTTAAGGTGCTTGCAGAAAGATGAAACTCGTTCCCTAAAATACCCATCCACGATTTGGACATCTTCTAAAGATAAGGATTGGATATTAGAGAACCCGTATGGAGAGGCAATTTAAGACTGCCTCCATGCAAATATTGCTCGATGGTGTTTTTTTGCGGAAGCAAGAGGGATGAAGACTCAAGTTCAATCCTCACCTTTATCATCAAATCTACTTAAATTGGAACACGCTAAAAAAATGCATCTTCAATTCCGTCAAGGATCCACAATGAAAGAGATGGAGCAGCAGGATGAAAACTCAATTGTTACGGAATGTGAATTCCCACAAAGCAGTTCCACCCTCCATTCCTCTGCATTATACAACCAGGTAAGATGGAAGCCGTTGTTCTTCATAGGATTTGGATGTCTCAAATGGCCAACGAATATAAGTGGATCGAGTCTCTATTGCGTTGCAATGAACTGTCCTAAAGGCTAACGCGTTCCAATCGTTTCACGAAATTATAAGCGTTTCGCACACCATCAACTTAAGAAGGAATTGATGCGCATTTGATCCTAAAATAGTAACTGCTTTAGAATATTGGCCTAGTTCAGCCTTTTTTGGTGATTGTCAATTTGATCTCTTAAAACAAGTTGACGAACAAAAAAAAAATTCATTTGTTAACACCTGTTTCATCCATTAAAAAAAAAGGGTTGTTTTTTATATTAAATGGTTTTATTAAATGAGAAAAGTTTTATTTGGGAATTCTTTAACTTTTCTCTGTATGAGATACTAAATGAGTTCAATTTTTTTTATTTTTAAATGGGGTTGTTTTGAGTTTTTATTTGTTTCAAGGGAGGGTTATTTAAACTCATTAATGGATTCATTTAGATCTTTAAAGATATTTTTGAATTAAAAAAAGGTTGAAAAATAATTTTTTATATACAAAATATCCTTGATTTTTCTATGACAGTTTAGTTGTTGGATTCTATGAATATAGATGATGCATTATATAAGTTTTTTTTTAAAAAAAAAATAAGTTCACCTTTAATATTTAAAAAAAAAAAAAATAAGTTCACCTTTAATATTAAAAAAAAAAAACTTAGCTTGTGAATCATATTTTTTTTATATGATCCAATCATAAAACCCACCTATCTAGTTTGTTTCTATGTTAATTTTTTTATGCATTTTCACTCTCATAAACTTAAAAAGAAAAATCATTTCATTATTTCATATTTGTATGTCTCAAAATTGAATGTCTCTTTTGATATTTAACTTTAAAAAAGATCTCCTTTTATTATTTAGATTTAAAAAAAAGATCACTTTTTATTATTTATCTTAAAACATTATATGCTTAAAAAAATAGATGTTTTTTTATTTGATTATCTCTCTTGTTATTTAGATTTAAAAAAAAAAGATCACTTTTTTATTATTTATCTTAAAACATTATATTTTTTTTTGTTTTTTTTAATCTCATGTGTCTATCTTATTCTTTTAAAAAAAAAAATTGTTCTTTAATGCAAAAAGAAAGCAACAACGCTTGGTTATCATACAATTAAATAAAATATAATTTCATAAATAAAAAGTTATTAAATCTATTAAGATAGCTAATCAAATTATGGTTTTATTAGATTAACTCTCATATTCACTCTAATCTTTTATTAGGTTTTTTCTTTAATTTTTAATTTTTAATTTTTAATTTCATTTTTCAATACTAAATTAGTTAGAAATTATATTTTATAATTTATTTTAATTTATTTTTTATAAATTTATTATAACTTGGATTACAAGTTAAATAATTAGCTCAAATTAAATTGTCCTTTTAGTATTTTAAAAATATATATTATCTAATATATAACTACCACATATGCATCAAGTTTTTAATTAATGATCAGAATTTTTTTCTCCCTACAAATACATTAGCAATGCCTTAACTTTCTTTTAATACTAAATATATATATATAGCGTGTACCCATGATCTTGTGATCATAGGATATAGACAACGCAGAAATCATTAATGACGATGGAAATCTAGCTAACTGCTCTACCATGTTTTTTGGGCACTGAGAATTTTGTTCCCCGTCTTCATAAATAAGATAACACAGTAAACAATAATCAAAGCAAACACTTTTCTTTTCCTTTGGCCCTTCCAGCACTTCCCTCTGTGACACAGGATTGATAAGAACATGAGCAAACAGTCATCTGGCATGTATATGATCAATATTGTTATTGCATTTAATTTTCTTTTTTGTTAAAAAATGTATTATCTATCTACCTGTATGTGTTAGCAATCTAGCCAGACAGCAGCATGTGGATCAGAATATTTGGCTATCAGGATAGGATAACACTGTTTGCCTTGATTTTCAGCAAGGTTCAGAAGCCGTCATTCAGGCTTTGCTGCACATCAGGGATCTGCCAGCAGCTATATGTGTATAGCTATTCAGGATGTTCTCATTAAACATTCTTGTGGTAAGCCAAAATCTTTCTTCTGAGAACCAAGCTGCCGCCTCCAAGGGTCATTGTGCAACTTATAGTGTAGAACCTAGTCAGGCCAATGATAGCATGTCAGTACCATTAATGAACATGCAGAAATGCATGTACAAATGAACTAAAACTTAATGCTGTGTTTTGAAGGTTCAAATGCAAATTTGAACTCCAACGTGGAATACAAACTGCAGGAAATGATCTCAATATCTGAAGGTGGAATTCATATCAAGTCAAGGGGCACTATCTTTCACCACAGGATCAGTCTTTCTAGCAAAAATCCTTCAAAACTGATAACCTTTCTGCAAATAGGAAAGGTTTCCTAATATCTTATTTTTTGCTACCATTCACAAATGCTCCATTTATGAAGGAACCAAAAGATGGGAAAATTAAAGGCAAAATGTAGAATTAGGGTTTTTAACTGGCTTAATATCTATCTTACCAAATAATCCCTTGCTGAAACTTATAGAGACAATAATCATACATGACTTGATTTCAATGTACAGTTGCAACAGATTCTATCATAATTTTTTTCCAAGATTAACTGTAGTCTTCAGTTTTTTCGATTGCACAACTCTCTTCCTAGCTTATATCAAGTTTCAGCTTCTCACTTGCATAAAGTTGATGAATTGATTTTTTTTCCTGGCCTGCCCTATCAGATGAAACTTCTTATCGAACTCTTGCTTTCCCTAGTGAAAATGTGATGTGAGCATTCTATGAAATTCCTTTTCCGAAAACCACAACCGAGGAAATATGCTATTATCCTGGAAAGAGATTCGTATATGAAATTCTTTACTTGTCTTTCAACTAAGATCATTTTCTTATTTCTTGAAGATTGATATCAATTCCAACAGCTGATCTTGATGCCGAAAGGCATAGGACTCAAAGGTTAAGGCTTATGGTTAAATTGGAGTCTCATATCGGCAAATGCAAGGAGAGGATTGCAGCATCAGAGATTTAAGTTAACTGAGAATAAGAGTTTAATGGGAGGGTGGAATCCTGCTGTGCAGCCAAATAATTTTAAATAGCTCTATATTCAGCATAAACAAAAGCATATACCTGTACAAAGGTGGCAAAGACATCATCTTCTGTCAATCGTAAGAATTCAACTGCCCAATCCTCCACATGACCAAAAGCAGTTTTTTGTCTCTCAGCTTCAAGCAACATAGAATCACGATACAAGAATCTCTGCCAGATTTTCTGGACGCTGGTCAACTTGTTTTCTATTTCTGTCTCATTGAATCCCTAGAGGAAGCGAGCACTAATGATTATCAGCTTTTAAGGTTTCAGAGTAACCATTTCACAAAGAGATTCCTAAAACCAAAACAATACCTGAAGGATCTTTATCAAATTTGGAATCTCGTCTTCCAGAATTCTGACAGCAAAGCTTTCATAGTTGAGCACATTTTCATATGGCAGGTATATCCCATCCTAGTAACAGGGAAACAAGATGGAACAAACTAGAAATAAGTTGCTACCATTGATCGTCAGTGTCTGCAACAAATAAATTAAAAACTTCCTAGAAATGCTAGTAGGAAGGTTTCACACTATATCACCTACTGATACTGTAAGCCAGCTCGAGATCCTAGTCACAGGTTTGAACGAAAATTTAAAAAATAAACAAATTTGAAAAAGCTACTGTTCTACTGGGGCTGAGCATAAAATGGCCCCATCTGCAATTTTGACATACGACTAGAAGCTTCAAGATGCTTACCTGAGTCATGAACAACCAAGTAGCTTGCTGCTTGTATGCTAAATCAAACATATTCTCTAAATTTTCAGGATACGCAGAACTACCTACCTGAATGACAACTGGAATGCACCCTTGCAAAATGCTATCTTCCATACGACCACTCCAACCATCTCCAGGCATTACTCCACAGAAAACAGAACTGGCTAAATCCTCATGGTAGCTTTCAGAGCGCAATGGGCTCACAATCACATTTTCAGCATGTTGTTTCCCAAGATTACCATCCTTGTTAGGGGTTGATCCAAACTCTTCTGCAAGTTTCTGTCTGATACCCATGCTATACCTGCACAATTACAACCAGCAAACTATAAGATCTGCTGAAACTTTTGTAGCATAATAGAAGGAAGGAGTTATTCCGTAAACTGGAAAAAGAACCAGACAAAGACAGCTAATTATTTATTTAGTATGAAGGAGACAGCTGATCATATTATTGAGAATGAGACAGGATACAGCTAGTAAAGGCAGCCAAACCATGTGCCTCTGTGTAGCCTGTGAAGTATGCATTTCTATTTGAAAACAATTTGCCTTTTTCAATAAATTGCAAACAGCTATTGAGTATTACAGTTTTACTTACGAAGCTTCTGGTCTTCCATTCAGGTATGCTGGTCCAAGATTTCCATTGAAATAGAATAATGTCTTCCGCTTTTCAAGAGGCCTGAGACAAATACATAATATTTTCACCTTTACTTGCATGAATTTGGAATTTATCTCACAATTGAGCCAGAAAATTCAATGAGAAATGTACCTAGCCCACAGTTTGGTGCTCAGAGCATTGACATCAGGTCGCTTCCAGGCAGGAAGCACAAGATCTTTATCAGGATCAAAGCAAGGATGCTTGCCTCTTCTATCAGAAGAAATTTTATCCCAGTTGTCAGCCCAATAGGCTGTTGTAGAATGGTTATGCTTTGAATTTGTATTACCCCAGTGAACCACCATCATGCTATTCCATATCTCCTTTGGGGCATAGCAAGCACCTTCATCCCATGAAAAAGACTGCCTTCAGATATCAAGGTGGAATCATTAGCATAAACCCGGAAGTATTCTGTTGTATCGGGAAAAGGCAATGAAAAATAACTTTGTTCACTTGAAAAGTGGAAAAAATTAAACAGTAAATCATTACCCATATATGGTCTCTTCCTGATGAGCGGTTCCAGAATGGATAATGCTCAACAATGTGATCGTATGCCTTCCTATAAAATTCTAGAGTGAGAGAGCTCCTCAAACCCAAATGTTGCTGAAATTAGAAAGCACATAACCATGAGGGCTCCGCATATGACAAGCAACACACTCACTTCAAATTGCACATGGTACACATATATGACTTTTTCATACATAGGAAAATAAGCTGCTATTGATAGCTTGAACAAGAAGCCCTGGGCTTGGTGGCTGGATGGGTACCAGAAAGTGCAGTTAGGGACAACAAGATCTCAGAGTTGAAGTTGTATTCTCAAGGATTTCTTGACAAACATACCAGGAGGAGGAGGATTACTGACCACTATACAAAAGTTCACATCTATGTATTCAGCTTAGTTCTTAATAATTGCTGAACTGACTGAATGAGTGATGTAAAATTAGCTTAAGACTTATTACATAACCATGTTTTTTAGTCAAACTTCCACATCGAGACTTGTTTCTGGATAAAACATATAGGAGTATTTTATTCCAACTTCTAAATATCCAACATAAAAGGAAATTTGAAGTTTTAAGAACAGGTGAGAGAATGAAACACTCAAGTCATGTGAAGTAGAAAGGAACTTAATAAAACAGTCACAACATATTCTGCTCCAAGGACTTTGAGCAGCAAAAAGGCATCTGAAGCTAACACTGAGGCACCAGATAATGAGTCCACAAAATCAGAAGTAAGAGTGGCGAATTAGGTTCATGAGGAATTGGATGAATAAGCATGTGTAGAGAGGACCCATGTGTTATGCTAGTAAAAAGGGAAAGCAAATGTATTGGTAGGATAAGAATAAAGTACAACTGAGAACAAAGGATGGAGTATGTCAGAGTTACAATTAGAGAAAAAAATAATAATGGAAATTCTACTGAAGCGTTTATTTGAAACCTGTGTAATCCATATAGGAACACAAGAAGCACCAGAAAATTATGATATGCAACCACGTCCATTAACAAACAATGAAGTGCAAGAAAAAAAAAGCAATATAGATTGATTTTTGTCCAAAGTTGGCTCATACTATCTCTATGGTGGTACCAATGGAAAAATGGCTGGTTATATGGAGTTACCAAAAAGAGAGAACATATGCTACAATCTAATGATCATTTGCTTTCAATGACAAAACAAGTCTGAGTTCAAGATAACAGACAAAATGAATCAGCATCTGATGGCTTGGAAGTAAAGACTAATAGTTTGCAAGACTATTGCATACACATACGACCATAATTCCATTTTATTTTAAAGATTAGCATAAGAACAGAATGTCTACAGGGAAATAAAAGAATATCCTTCCATTTCCCTTTTTTATGAAAACATAAGCATAAAAGATAGAATTGCATGCATCCATAACATATCCATATCCCAGATCTAGAAAGCATACCTCCATACTCAGGTGAGGTGCATCGTCAGCACGTGTAATGATGCAAGAATCAAGAACAGGTACAAAGAAAAAGTCAGCTTCTTCACCATTTAATGTTCGATATGGGCTAGCTAAAATACTTTCATAGAGTGCCATCTGTAAGTGCATAGCTACAGCATTAGATACAATTCATGGTATAAGCTAAATCTCAATCTCAGTTCAAATAATACCTGGGCACCATACAACTGATCCGTCCAAATTGTTGCATTGTTATCATTATACAGCCTGTTTACACATTCGAACTTAAAATGCCGCCCCTACAGAACCAATTAATTGACAAACATGAGAAGTTTGCTCCTAGTTTCAAGAAACAAAAGAAATGCTATTCTTACCTCAAGAAGTAAACTGTTGAACTTTGGGGGTAAATCATAAATATATATAAGGGGCCTTTTCTTCTTGACCACTGCATTGAGCTCAACAAGTTTCCCAGTGAGATGTGCATTGTCAGGAACATCAAGCTGAGCAGGTCGAAGCCACTGAGGCCACTCTCTTACAGATGATGTAACAGATGGGATACTGCAGTCTGTTCCATACCAACCACTGGCACACTAGAAATACAATCTTGACACAATTAGATAGTAGGTTGAAAGAAAGACAAGGACATTTAAATTAGTTCAAAAAATATAACTTTCAGGGTAATGAAAATTCATCAAAAGAGAAGATTTTAGGGGAATTAGAAACAAAATAATGTTCTATCAATTCGGTAAGTTTTTTTATTGCATGCTAACCTCTCATCCACTTGAGCAATGGATCCCAAAATTCACCAAGAACAAATACCAAGAAAATAGAAAGTGTAATACTACATATTTTTTAGTATTTGTTTATTTTTCCCCCAACAAATCACTGCATTAGATTCTCATATTACCTAAAATTGTTTTACTATCAGCTATACAGGACAGGAATGTTCAAAAGATTCATCGGTTTTGTGCAGTTCTCCATGCCACAATTTCATATTCTTCACAGGGCTCAAAAGGAAAAGGGAAAGGAGGGCAAAACCCCCTCCACGCATGAAAGGAAGCCCTTGTAAACACTCCAAATGTTATTTTGTTCACAAATTTTGCCTGTAAACATGGTTTTCATTTATTTCTTTCACAGTGCAAATCAAATACCTGTGATTCTGGAATCATAATTAAAGAAAGAACAAACATTACCTGACAAAAACCACCACGGCAATGCCCATGTCCAGAGCATTGGTTAATACAAGAGCATTGCACAGGCACTTCACAGAACCGCCCTGACAAACAATCATATTTGCAGTCGCATTCCTCTTTGAATTTCACCTTGTTGGCATACCCTTCAGCTGGGTCCACATTACACCATCCTAGTTTGCTTTTGTTTGTCGTGTATATGTCCAGGTCAGGTTTTGCCCAATCAACTTGTCTCGGGGCACCAGGTTCAGAAGGTAAGCTGATAAGAAATGTCGAGTCATGACTAAGAGGATTTGGAAATTGGAACAAATGATATGTACAAAATATTCTTCCTTAGATTCTAACTGCACTCGCCTCAGTTGAAACCCACAAGTCTCTGCTGCAGGACGATTTGGATATTTTGTACCTTCTCCACAAAAGCACAGTGCTCTCATCGGGTCACAATGAGCAGAGCAAATGGAGACAACCCATCGCCCATATGGTAGCTCTGGTGATTTAGGGTAGTTACATTCCAAGTGTAGTCTCTTAGAGCATCCTTCCCCTGAAACATCAGCACCAGAAACAATATCATTTGGAATATTCTTTATTGTTTGTTTTGTTATCCATAGTTAAATTCTAAACTTTTTGTAGTTTAAGTCACATAAAAACGGAGGTTTGGCCATGCTATCAAAAAAGAACACAGCAAAGATCTGTAACAATTTGTAATTAACAGAGTTTTCCTGTGTCTCTACTTGGAATCAGGATGGGGCAAAAGAACCGTCCATCTACCAATTACAATGTGAAATGGAAATGCTAAATCTAATCATCTGTATTTTCAAAATCAACTTCCAAGTAGCCATCTGACTTTTTCAATCCCACAACTTCAACTTCCCCGTACAAAAGGGGCATGACAACCTATTCTAGTTACTGGCATCATTTTCTAAATGTGACGTGAATTGGGAAAAGGATGGAAGTATAAGAATTGCAAAAACAGAAAGGGAAAAAAAGGCTCACCACTAAATCCATGAAAACACCGACAATGACCAAGTTCATAGTTACAAACTCCTTGACCACTGCAATCATTTTTGCAGCTCCTGCCACTTATTGTCTGTGATCAAAGCAGTTGACCATATTAACTATCAGACTGAAATTTTAATTTGATATCAGCATAAGCTTGTCTAAAAGATGAGAAAGAGCATGTCAACGAAAGCCTCATAAGCCGATAGAATTCACCAAGTCCTTTCTCTGTGTATACAGCAAGAATAAGCATTTCCCACAAGTACAAATAATGAATGGAGGTTAACAATCTCACAAACAGATTCAAATTAACAGTCATTAGTCACAACTATTATTACCTCAACAACACTGACTTCCTTAGTAACTGCATCACAGCCAGAAAGCCATCGTCCAATCTCAGCCTTCCATGGTGCATTACGATAAACCACTGCCCGATGCAAGTCAGCTGGAAACTTGTGCTCTAAATCTAAAACTGGCTGTGAATTTCCCGGGTCATGACCAGTCCTTCCATCCACTGATTCATTATTTGGGACACAAGAATCCTTAACTTGCCGAACACTGAAGGGATCAAAAGAAGGCACCACGGGAAACAAGAAAAGATGAACTACCGAAACTAATGCCACTATAGATGCAATTGTAGCCATCAAAGACCATGAACATTTCCATTTCGAAATCATTATCCCTGACACCTCTCCAGAAACAAACACAAAATTACACCTGCAAATCAATCAATTTAAAATCAGCAATACAAAATTTCACAATTACAGTCACCAAGAGACGGGGAAAAAACCACAAGTCCCAGGAAAAGCATAAAATTTACAGCTCAAAATTTAAATTAAATTCATTACCATTAACAATTCACTAAATACCAAACTCGGCGATTCAAGCGCGTGAATTAAAACTGAATAAAAAAAATAATAATAAGAAAACAAAATTTCCGACAAAAAAAAAAAAAACAACAGCATAGTGAACAAAAACGACACTGAATCTGAACACTAAACCCATAAAACGCTAACACAAACTCACACTAGACAATCTCTAGCGAAAACTAAACAACTGTGTCCGAAAAACAAAAAAAATTACCGGTTGCAAAGGTTGAACAAAAATGAGCTAAAACTTACCTTTAATTGGATCAGAGATTGCAGTTTTTTTAGGGAAAATGACATGAAAAAAACGAGAAATACGAAAATGAGAGGAATTGAATCATAAATGGGAGTAAATTAAGAGATTTGAGAAGAGAGTCTACCAGAATGTTGAGCAAGATTCCAAGTACTTGGAGCGGGAGGATATTAAGAGATTTGAGGAGAGAGTTTACCAGAATGTTGAGCAAGATTTCAAGCAATTAGAGAATATAATAGATAATTTGGTTGTGATCGGCATTGTAATCGTTAATTAATTTTAAAAAAATTACATGATTAGCAGAGCGAGAGGGGGGGAGGTCAATGCAAAAGCCGCCAAGTCTCTCGTTGGAGTTTTGAACAAAAACTAATGTACATGATAGGCAGCTGTTGTTACTGTTGCAGTTGTTGTATCTTATAGTGTTTTTTTATTTTTTTGTGTGTGTTTTTTTAATATATTAAAATATTTTTTTATAAATTTATTTTTAATATTAAAATATTAAAATAATTCAAAAATATTAAAATAATAATTTTTCTCCAAAAAAAACAATATCACCATACAATTGTTATGAGTTTTTAATTTCTTAAATTGTCTAGTAAGTACTTGTATTATGGGCTAATTATATTTTAACCGAACATAATTTTTGTGTTTTATTTTTTGGTTTTCAACGTATGCTATGTTCCAATCAATTTTTCATTAAAATAACTATTGTAGTCATTGTATAATATATATAGAAGCATTTAATTCGATTAAAATATCTATTTTAGTAATTGTATAATTAAAATAATTCATAAAATTTCCATCGCTCGAATGAAATGTGGCAAATTTTATAGATACATTAGCAAGTATTAATTGCACATGATTAGCGAAAATCAAAGGAAAATTATGTAATTATTTTTTTTATTATTAACGTGGGTATTCGGGCCAGCTTGCACGCACCACGACTAATCTCACGGCCCACCGAACATCCTGCAAGTCCAGTGGGCAAGTAAGACACCATAGGGGTAACAGGCGTACCGCACAGGGAAGGACCCAGTAGAGACATGAAGAGAAACACCCTCCAGTTCTATTCCCGCTAGGACTCGAACTAAGATTCGAAAGAAGGAGAGCGGTTCCAACAACCACTGAGCCATAACCCTGCTGATAAATAATTATTTTTGTTATTTATATGGGAAGTGAAGAGTTAGGTGTATGATAATCCATTCATGGGATTTTATGTTGATTGAGATAATTTCATGGTGTATATGGAATGAATAGTGATATATTATTAATTTTTTTTAATTTTTTTTTAAAAAAGAGAGATAATCATGAAAAGGATAAAGAAAATAAAGTTTGTAACTCATAAAAAATGATAATAATATCTTCATTTATTATTTATCTCTTATTACTTGTATTTGCTTGAAAAAAACAAATATCAAAATTAAAAAAAAAATATGACCCATCAAAAATAAAAATAAAGTGTGTGTAGAAAATAAATAATAAAATATTATTAATTACTCTTTCACCGTCAAACTAACCTTTCATGTTATCACCACGTATATTTGAATAAATAAAAAATCAATTATATTGAGAAATTAAATGGAAACAATTAATTTCCTAGACGACCAAGTTAATAATCACAATGTGATTATTGTGAGATATTTTTTGAAATATTTTCTAACTATATTCGGGCACACCATATTTATTTAATGGTCAATGTATTATTAACATGAGAAGATTAAAAGAATAATACATTAGAAGATTAGAAGAAATTTGATAAGCTGTGACAAGAATTAAAAAAAATAAACTGTGTAGAAATTAATCTAATATGACCCGAACTTAAAAAATTTTAAAATAACATGAACAATTAAATATAAATATAGTTTTTATAGAATAAGAATTCAAAATGATATCTTGTTTTTTAAATACTATGACCGTGATATATTGAATTGATTTGAATTAAATCAGGTTAACATGTAAAATTTATAATCTAAATCATGAAAACGTAATAACTTCTTATAGAATAAATAAATAAAATTAAAACTCAAATTTCAATTAACTCAATGTTAAATGATGAAATTAAAGAAAAAATTAATTTTAAAAAATAAAAAAAAATGATTTAAGTCAACTCGAATTAACTTGTCACATTTGAATCATAAAATCTGATTTAAGTCAACTCGAGTTAACTTGTCACATTTGAATCATAAAATCAGGATAACCCAATAAATCACAAACTAAAATAAATTATAAAGTTTAATTATTAATTAATTAACCGTTGAATGATGAAATTAAAAATGAATGAATGGCAAAATTAACAAAGAAAAATAAAAAGAATATAAGAAAAGATTCGAGATAACCTGAGTTAACTTATCAAGCATGCAACTCAGGTCATCAAACTGAGATAATTTCATAAAAAATAAATTGAAATAAATAATAAATCTTAATTCTCTATTAACCTAATATTAATAAATAAAATAAAAATAAAAAATAATTCAAAAACCATCCGAGTAAATAAGATTAGTCCAAAAAAATTGAGATCTAAATTATAACATCAAGATAACTTCATAGAAAATAAATCAATAATAATATATAAAATTTAATCAAGAATAAATTTAATTATAAAATAATATCTATCAAAATAAAAATTAAAAAATATTATTTCAATAAACAACATTACAAAAGGATAATTTTTTCATTATGGTTTAGTTTTTTTAAATTCCGAACTATGGGTTATCCAATCACATGATCAATGTAAAAGCTATTTTTTTCGTGGGTCATTTCATAAAGGATTGATTGATGTCGAAATTCATAAACATGATCGATTGCTTATCGATAGTTCTTGCATCAATTATATGATTGGATTGCTCATAGCCTGTCTTGTAGTCTATTCTTGTTGAGTTTTTATTTTTTTAAATAACATCACCAGTCTAGTCCTGCCAGAAATATTGTGCATGGATGCTATCACTCGGACTCTTAAATCAGCTGCCTAAACATTACTAATCCAAAAAAAAAAAAAAATCGAAACTACAGACGTCTGGATTGCCAGCAGCTTTTCTTTTTTCTTATAAAAAAAAAAAGATGCCTTCTCTAAACAAGAATAAAATATACGCGAAAAAAAACAAATTAAAATTTTGTATAGTGGAAAAAAAGGGTCCCATGGGAGGTGAATCTGGTCTGAACGTGGAATACAATATTGTTATCCCGCTGTCTGGCAACATGCAAGGTGTTGGACTGGGGCAATGGCTGCTGATCTATGTTGTTTATTGGAAAGTCTAAAGTCTTCGTTGTCATCACTGTTGCAATTGGAATATTAATTGTTCAGACATGAAAGAGCTCTGGTTTATGTGACTTGTTCAGTGGACATTGCTGGCCTAGCACGCTAAGCTTATTGACTTTGGAGATGCCTGGTGTTAATGAACTGGGCTCTCATGCCCAATCTCCTTGCAGGCCTTTCTAGTCATTGCCGCCATTTGTTATTACATTCCGGTGAGGTAAAAAAAAAAAATTAATTTTTTTTTGTTATTTTTTAAATTATTTTGATATAATAATATGAATAATATTTTTAAAAAACTAAAAAAATATTTTAATATATTTTTAAATGAAAAATACTTTAAAAAAATTATTGACACTCTCAAATATATATTGTGATGTTAACTTTTTTCAATAGTATTTTTTAATTAAGAATATATTAAAATAATGTTTATATCAATATTTTTAAATCATTTAAGAATATGTGTGTGTATTAATTTAATATTTTTTATAAAAAAATCTCAAAAGCATATTATAATAGCAAGGACAAACATGCACGATCTTTTTTTTTAAAAAAAAAACCTCTTTTCCGTTAACGGTGTACATGTCTTTTCTCTCTTGTTTTTTTGGATATAAAATTAAAGGCATTATGTGTGTGCATATCGAAATTAAAAAATAAAGTATATTTTATATAAAATTAATTGAACATAAGTATATCACCTCGATATTTCGTAGCAAAACTTAAACTCAATGCCTCCTGCCTTGTAATCTCATAAACCCAGGTTTTACCTATGATAATTTCCATTTCATGTGGAGCTGAGGTTTATGGAAGAATTAATATTTTTCTCTTTTCATAGTAATAAATGGGGACTTGGGTTTTTTTTGTTTTTTTTATTTTTTTACAGTTGTTTTTTAAAATAATTTTTAATTGAAAATATATTAAAATAATTTTTTTATAATTTTTTTAACATCATTATAAATCTATAAATTTTTTTTAATATTCTCAAAAACATTTTCCAAGCAGAAACAAAAGAAAGCTGCGAGTTGATAAAAGATGACAGTTAGTTGGGCTTTGTCCAGGCCCAGTAACAACTGAAACACCCATACCAGCAACCAGCGAAGGATTCCAAGCTGCTGCCATCAAAACCCGCAGTGCAACCACCGTGTCATTATTCAACAAATGGACGGATGAATTCCAAGGTATGTGTAATCCTTCAGCACACAGAAAAATTATACACACTAACCTTACAAAACGCATGACAAGCGATGTGCGATGATGTTATCACTTATTGTTCAAGTGATTTATTAGATTATTGTATCAAATGCTATTTGAATTCATGAGAAACAGAGCTTGGGATAAAAATATATATAGAGAGAAACCATCACAGCAAAATAATTCAGTTTCTATTCTATGTTTATGATCATATCACATATATTTAGGTAATCAATGGCACCCCATGTATCTTATTCAAGTTTCTATCTAGCTTTGGGTATGCAATATCAAGTGGCAGCAAAATAATTTTTACAAAATCTTGATCAAAACCGAACATTTTTCTCCCACCCTGTCTGTCGTTTACTCTGTTCCATTACTTTAGATTGCCTCCCTTCCTTGACCGCAAGCAATGGCATCCTCTCCTTTTCTCTCTCCTTCTCACCCAAAACCCTGACAGACACCTTTTTCGTTGACCCATTATTCGTCCCCTTCTTTGCCAGGCTCTTTAATTCACAGCAGAATTCTTTTATCTGACTTAATACTTCCTTTCCTGCTAACAAATTCCGGGCTGAAAATGTAGTCCTTAGCTTTGCTTTTGTTGAGTTTGCGTGTAAATCGTCCCTAGCTTCTCTTAGTCTGATGTTTGCTTTCTTTGGCAGTTCATCGGTATCAGGTTTTCTATTAGATAAGTTCGGATTCTTGTTTTCACAATCTTCCCGGAAACTGTGAACAGATTTGTACCCTTTTGTTTTGAGGGTATGTGGATTGGGAATTTCTGCTTTTTTCAGCTTTGCGTCTCTGGAAAAAAGAAAAAATATCAGTTAAAAACTGAATTTTTGAAGTCAGTAATGTTGTTTTCATTTCTTTAAATGATTTTAGATTAACTTCAGACCTGCGATTCCTGTCCCTGAAAGGAAGCATTTCAGATATAGTAACAGACTTCGGAAATTTCACCTGAGGGGGAAGAAAAAGGTATGCCAAGTTTTCATAAATTGATATATGGAATCAAATCAAATGAAACCTAATAATAAATTTGATCAGATAGATTAAAGACCTTCGAACCCCGTTTTGACTTGAGATAATCTTCAATAGTCTTTGGATGCTTGCAACCTGTAAATCAACAAACAAATGCCTTGTGTAAGAACCCAACACAAATGGAGAAGAGATTTTACTTGGTTTTCTTTCATTAGCAATATTTTATTACTTTCTTGGATACCAAACTCAGGGAATTCAAAAGGGTCGTACCAGGTTTGCAGAACCAAGCTTCATCATTGGCAGGTTGTTCAGGAAAGGCAGATAAATCAACCCATTTTGGTGCATTCATGTTCTCATAAGTGTCATCTTCGATGAATACAGAATCAATGCTGTCCCAATCAATGATTCCTGGCTCCATACTGTTGAAAGAACCTGCCAAAGAAGCAAAAAAGAGTAAGAAACAAAAGATTGTGTGATCTATATGGATTATGATTACGAAACTGATAAAACAAAGGAATTCAATGGGGTTTTTCCTTCTTCGAGATTTGGATATTGATGAAGGTAAATGAATGGCTAATGGCCTGGAGGAGTCACGGGGATTATGTAACGTCAGGAGCGGCAACGAGTAGGAGTTTTTAAGACTTTTTTCCGACCGTTAGAAGGGATGACCTTTTCGCCTCCTTGGTGTGTTTTCTTTCTTTTGGTTCCTGGTTTAAAAAATTAATTTTTTTGTTTTTTAAATCCTCTACTCCCTTTTTATGAATCAATTTTTTAAGGCAGCAATCAAACTCTGTAGGTGAATTACGGAGATATCATTATACAACTGAAAAATTGAAATCAGATATCTAAGGGATTGTTTGGTATGAACTATATGACTTTTATTATTATTATTATTATTATTTTATAATAAGCAAAACCAACAGCTACTATTACAAATTTTTAAAACCACTTTACTTGATTTACAGTAATTTTGACAACCAATTATTCATTTTTTATGTTTCTATAAGAACAAAAGAAAAGGAAAAAAAATAATAACAAACTTCTCCAAATGTTTTGATTTTTTAAAAAAAATTACAAACTAAAACATTGATGAATTCCTTTTTCTCAGCTAATTTATTATAGGAAATAGAGATTACTAGGCTTGTTGCTCATGCTTATTTAAGATATAACAAACAAACTCATGAATCTTTTTATAAACAAAAGATATATAAATCAATAATATATAAGATTATAACGATCAAAACCTCATATAATAAAAAATAATCAATGATATACAAATTTTATTGATCATGAATATATATATATATATATATAAAAGCTAAATATGTGGAACTCATTAATAATGTCAGGCTAGCAACCAAACCTTGAAAAATCCTGATTAATATTTATAGCTATTTTTTTTTCTTTACTCCTTTTAAAATCAACATTTAATATGTTGTTTTCAGATAATAAAAACATGTTCAAAAATAAAGGTGTGGTTGCTTTTTAAAATATTTTTTATTTAAAAATATATTAAAATAGTATATTTTTTAAAAAAATTATTTTTAACATCAACACCTCAAAATAACCTAAAAACATAAAAAATTATTAATTTACAATAAATAAATAAAAATAATTTTTTTTTTTTAAAAAATAAATATAAAAACAAATATGGCATAAATATTTTCTAATAATCAACTTTGATCGGAGTTTTGATATCTTTAAAAACAAAAACCTGAATAATCTTTCATGAAATCAAGCCCAGGAAAAATGGTGAGAAGATTTTTTTGGTTTCCTGTGAAGCTGATATCGAGCTTTTAGAAACAAATAATCGAAGACAATTTATAAATGGAATAAAGGCACAAAGATCAAATGAAAAAAGAAATTAATGACAAAAATAAAATTGCACGGTGTGAATCTACAATGCCAAAGAGCCTGTTACGACAGTGATTTTTCGTCCCAAATTAGTTTTTGCTCAGATATTAATAACTCAATTGACATCTTGATGTCTCCATCTCGAGTTTTATTTGTAAATCGAGGGGAGTAAATACCATCCAAATAAGATATGGAAATGATCAAGATCAAATATTGAATTTTGTTTTTTAATAATATGACGTGCTAAAACATGTTTTTATGTAAGCACGTGTATTAAAGTGAGAACTTGTTGATTCCCTTTTCAGAGCCTCTTTCTAGAACCTCCCATTTATATTTATAACAAATATAGTATTCACTGCTTATTTGACCTGTGATATGTCTCAGGTTATATTTTTTTTAATAAAAAAATAAATATATAAATTTTTTAAATGTAAATTAATTTGTTATGTACATATATAATTAAATAAATTTAAAATTATATATGTAAATAAATAAATAATCATTAATAATAACTAAAAATAAAGATTATTTATCTAGTTATATTTAATGAATTTATTTATTAAAATTAAATTTTTATTCAATAAAATGATTATAAAAATAGACACACATTAAATTAATTGAATAAAATAAAGAAAAAAATAGTAGACAAGCTGCACAATATTATAAATATTATCAAAAAATAAATATTTTTAATTTAAAAATAAAGATCATCTATATAAAATAAAAAATTATAGATGAATAAGAACAATCTCTTTAAAAATTAAATACATATAAAATAGTTTAAAAAACAACTGTTATTCAGAAAAAAATTAAATAAACAAAATAAAAAATAAAAGGAAGAGTTAAAAGATTATTAAAAAAAAGACTTTTTTTTAATAATAGAAAACACATAAAATCAGATAAAAGAAAGAAAGAAAGAAATGTATTTATACAGCTCGGGAAAAAAGAAAATAAAAAGATATGCCACCATATTCTCTCAAGCCCAGATATCACTTTGTTGAAAAATAATATGGCGGTGAAGCTTTGATAGTATTGACGAGAGGAATATTTTGGAAGATAAACACTGTAGTTAGCTTACTGCAACACACTAACTCAAAAATTTATACATGTATGTATACAGCCCTTGATACAGGCATAACTTTTCTACTAATAATTCCTTATACGTATACTATATCAATACTAATATTAAATCAAATACAGAATAATTTCGTAAACAATAAATAAGCTTAATTAAATATACACATAAACCATTACTAAAATACAAATAAGGTTTCCTACCACGTCAATATTTTTCTCTGCTGTTGCAAAAAAGAAATATGTTTTCCTTGGCGATTTACGTGTATTGGAAGCTACTGAGCAGGATCGCCATCACCATTCACGATCGCTGTCCCATGTATGGTCATCAAAATTCAAACAAAGGTCTCTGATCATTTGGCAAATTTGCCGATTCCTCCACGTCATTGTTTTTGCCACTTCCTTCACGCCAATGTTTAGAAGTTAAGAACGAAGAATATCGGACCCAAGTGTCGTCACGTTTGATTAAATGAAATGTGTTTTGGAGACACTCGTTCGGTTGATTTTTGTCAGGTTGCAAACATGGCTCGTGGCCATAGGCTTCACTGCCACCACTCCTGGCTAAAAATTAGCCAGTACGTGGATTGTTGACGATGCTGACTTGTTGTTTTATGCATGGCCGGACTTCATTTTGCATGCCAATAAAAATAATTGAGTTTTATGTTTTTAGAATTCATTTGTAGAATCAATGTTTCTTTCTTACTGTTATGAAAATCCAAGATATTTATTTAATATTTTAAATAATTAATTAATCTCTTAATTTAAATAATTTAACTTATTCTTTTTAATTAAGATGGTAAATAACTTGATATAAAAAGTTCAATTAGTTGGTTACTAATAATAGATGATGCCTCACGAATCAATATTGCTGATATTAGCAGAATAATTTTTTTTCAATAAAAGTAAGGATTTTCTATGATAAAATCAGTAATTTGTAAAGAGAAAAATTACAATAATATTTTAAAGATATAAACTCTAAAAACACATAAGATAAAAATGTTAAAAATAAAAAAATTGTAAATTTGTAAGTAATAATTTCCAACAAGGTATTTAAACTCATTAAAGATGAAAAATAAATTCAGATACATTACCTCGACATACTGGGCTTATGATGCACACTTGGATCTAAGGGTGATGGAGTGCATGCTCAGCACCCCTACTAGGTGGTGGGCATGTCACGCCTAGTCTAGGTGCACGCCAATCCCAGTATGGACTCGAGCATGTTGCTTATGCTTAAGCCCATGCATTTATGCTTAGAATAGGTTCAAGTTATAATACATAAACCTATTTTTCTTGAACACCGAGTATGTATTTGATTCGGGCTTGTTAGTCCTCGTCCAATAAGTGTTTTAGTCCATTTTAAAAGGATTTTTTGGTCCATTTTAAGTTGGTTAAATTTAAAGAAATAAAATCATTTCTCATTATATTAAAATTAACTTTTTTATCAACATGTAATTCTCAAATTAATGAGCAAATATAACTCCAAAATTGTTTTATTCATCAATACAAGCTAAAACAACATAATTTTCATTCATGAAGATCTATTTTTTATTTATTTTACATGCAAAAATCTTTTTTATAGTAGTTTTAACCAAAAATATATTTTTTTATAAACCCTAAAATGTTTTTTTTTAAACTTATTTTTTAAAACTAGAATCGCAAAAGCTACCATAATACCAAACACTTATTTTTCATACATATCTTTTAAGAGAAGAAACAAATATCCATCTATTTGGTATCATTTAAAATCTTGTTTTATATCATATAAAATGAGTTAAAATATCTTAAAATGCCTTGTTAGAACCAAAACTAAAATAAAAATATGTTTTCAAACATGAAGAGACATAACACCAAAGTGCTGTTGGTAATGCGGTTGCATCTAAGGTTAAAGTCGGCCATAATTGTTACGTGTTTGGTTATGTAAAAACTAGGTTTTATTTTGGTGGGATTCATCAACAATTGTGATCACATCTCTGGTTGAATAAAAGTTGGAAAATTGTGCTTTGCAACAATAGCTAACCTCATTTCTCAAGATCCACCGACAAACTGATCCCCTAAGAGAGGAAAAAAAAAAGCAATTGGAATATCAAACTATCCAGCTCAATTATTCATCTTAAAAATCAGAGAAAAAATACATTATAATCATTTCTTCACCTAATAGATCCCTCTTTTCTCTCACAGAAAATTTTGAGATCTTTGTCTCTTGCAACTATTCTCCCCTCTACCGTAAAAAATTCAGCTTAATGATTCATCTTAAAAATCAAAGCAAAAATACATTGCAATCGTTTCTTCACCTAGCAGATCCCTCTTCTCTCTCGTAAAAAATCTAAGATTTTTGTCTCTTACAACTATTCTCTCCTCGACCATCATAAATAATTTCCCTTTCTTTTTGCTACCCCATATGCCTTTGCAAACTTTTGATATTATAGATCTAATTAAAATGTTATTTTTTTCATTTGTTTGTTATTTTCACCATGAACAATTTTGTATATCTTTTATTTTTTCATTTGTTTGTTGTTTTCATCTTTTATGTTTGTCTTCTTCACAATCAGCATCAAAATTAATACATGATATGGAATCTCTTTTGTGGTTGTAGAAAAAAAGAAATGAAATCCATTTTTTTTATTGCTTCTCATAATTTTATATTTATTATTGATGAATTTATTTGTAGATCTGAGTTGGTTTTAGAGGGGAAAAAACAAGGAGATCCTAAGAAATTATTTGAGAACAAAAAAAGAAGGTGTTGTAA